CCCCCCGTCCTCGGAGCCCCCTCTCGTGCCCTCACACTGGCTGGCCCCATCGACTCCGACCCCCACACACCCGGCTCCCTCTGCGCCGCCCCCCCCTCCCGTCTGCGTCCGTCCCACTCCCCACACCCTTCTTAACCTCACTGCCATCCCACGCCCGGCTTCTCTGTCCCCCGCCCCTTCCTCGGGGCCTCGCGCCCCCTCCCCACCCCACGCCGATCAGTCAGCCCGGGTCTGGGTTTTCGTCTCCTCTACGCCTCAGGAATGTGGAGAATGTCCCCCCCACCTCCGGCGGGAGGGTCGCGATAATGAGGCGAGACCACCCCCCGTTTTTCCTTCCTCTCGGGCTGGGTGTGTGAGGCCCGGGGAGAATCGGGGGCAGGAGGCCTGGTGTCGAGGTCCGCTAGAGGACGGGCGGGCAGCGCGGACTTTGGGTCCCTTGGAGGGCCGAGGATGAGAGTTCGGGCGACCTGGGGGGAAGGGGCTGAGCTCAGGGCTCCAGCCCGGTTTTCAGGGAGTTGAGGGCTCTGACCACTGAGCTCCAGAAAGATTAGGGGCTGGGGGCTCTATCTCCTGAGTCCCCGGTAGAATGGAGGCTCCGGGTATGTCTAACTGGGATCCGTAGGTAGAATTAGGGGCGGGAGGGACTCGAACTTGAAGGTTCTCGATTTAATTGGGGCAGGGGGCTCTGTCTCCCGGGCTCCAGGTAGAACTGGGGGGCAGGAGGCTCAATCTCATGGGCTTCAGATTTCACTGTGGGCAGAGGAATGTCTTCTGAAATCCGGATGTAAATGTGGGCAGGGGACCCTATCGCTTGGACTGCAGATATAATTAAGGGCCGGAGGCTCTGTCTGGAAGATGGAGTCTGCTGTGTCCCAAGCAGAATAGGAGGCCGAGTCCCGGAGGCTGGGAGCCCCCTCCCTTTCCTACTGAGCGGTCGATGGGGATGTCCCTGGGGAAGTTTTCCCGGTGTCACTTTCGTGGAGCCCGGGAGGGGTGGGGCGGGCGCTCTCCTGGCTCACGGTTCAGACTCCGGGTTTCGGGACCTTATCTTTCCTCTTGTCGAGAGCCTTTGTCCTCGGAGCCGCTTCTGGAGGTGGCGGGTGGAGCCAACGCCCTAATCCCCTGCCCCTCCCTCTGCTCGCTCTCGACCTCCCTTCCGTCCCCCACCCTGCCCCCAACTAGGGCAGGGGCGCGGCCCCCAGGGGAGGGAGGAGCTGAGAGGAAACGGGTGAAGGAGCCTCTGGCCCCTCCCCTTGCAGGTAACCAGCTGGTTATTCCCACTGAGAAACTCTGGGATGCTGGGGTTTTCCAAGGGTTTGCCCAGAATAGGGCTCAGGAGGATTTGGGGGGAACCCGGGTCAGCCCTCTGGCCTCATTTTCTCCAGGATGTCTGAGTTGTCTCCCATCTTTGACCCAGAGCTGGGGACTTCCTCTTCCATCCCCTACCTCTTCCATCTGTATCAGAGACACTGGGATATGAAATCAGAACCTGCCGCCTCTGGGTGAATTCTCACAATCCACCAGACCTTGAGCCAAACTTTGACTTAGTGCGTGATCTCACAGAAAGTTCTAGACCATCCTAAGACACAGGTCTCATTTTGCAGATGAGGTAACAGAGGCTTAGAAAGGGCAAGGCACTTTCCCACACAAACCCATAGCTGGTCCCTGTGGAGCCAGACTCCAGAGCTTACCCCTTTATAGTCAGCTCTTCAGAGCCCCTCTCCAGGTGGGCTCCAGAAAGTGCCTCTGAGCCTCCATTTTCTGCTTTGTAAAACTGAGATAACAGTCCCTTCCCTGCAGGACCACTGGGAAATTCAGAGGTCCTGCTGATCCTGCGTGGAAGCGCTTAGCACCTGGGGAGGGGGTCTTCCCCTTTCCTGGCCCTCCATCCTTCTGCCTCTGCCTTCTGCTGGCTGGCTGGCTGGCTCTCGCCCACTCTCCTTTCTCTCCTTCCCTCATTTTCTCTCTGCCCTCCTTCCCCCTCTCTTCATTTCTCACACTCTACATCTCTCTCTAAGCTTGCTTTCTTCCTCCCTCCCCATCTCTCCTTTCCGTCCGTCTGTTTACCTGTCTCCAGCTCCACTGCTCCCCCTCTGCCTCCTCAGGGAATGAGGGTGCCCCGTCTGGGCTTCTGGTGGGGCTGGGCCCCCTCCGCATTCCTCCCCAGCTTTCACTGCTCATCCATGTCAGCCAGGCAGCCCCACGGTGGTGGAGCGGGTGGGGGGAGAGGGGCTGCCGGCCTGACTGTCTCCTCTCATTAGGGAAGGGGGACTGGCAGAGGAGCAGTGAGGGGATACACAGAGAGGAAAGAGATGCAGGGATGGGGACGCCCGATAACAGCAATGGGAACAGAAGCCAATAGAGGAAGGAGTCAGAGACACATCTAGGAATGGAACAGAGAAATGGAGGGAGAACGAAGTACAGCCACAGGGATGGGGCAGAAAGACACTGGAATGGGACAGAGAAAGGCGGGTGAAGGGAGCTAGACAGAGACACCAGGATGAAGGCAGGAACAGCCAAAGGAGAGAGACAGAAGTTTGGTGACAGGTAGCCCAAAAGACCCTGGCCTGGGAGAACGGAGATGCCTTAACACAGGGAGGTCAGGGCACAGGCAAGCCTCAAGGCCAGCAGCATGTGAGGGCCACAGGGAGTGGTGGACAGAGGAAGGACAGGGAGCTGGGCACACAGGCCAGCTCCCCTGCCCCTGCCTGGGATGCTGCTACATTTTTTTTTTTTTCCTTTTTGTCTTTTTTTCGTGTCCGGCAACG